CTCATGTAAATTGTCTTCTGTCGTGAGATGAGGAACCGATGGGGTATTTAAGCACACAGGCAATCAAATGAGGCCTGAATCTGTGGCTTATGAAAACAGACAGAGGACGAAAGGAAGGCAGGTGAGGAGAGACAGAGGGGACCTCAATGAATTGCCCAACTGAGAGCAGAAAGTCTCTCTTAACAGAAAAGAAAAATAGGAAAGTCCTCTATGGCAGAAGTCCCTGTGTGACGTGCCTATGATATTCCACTTCTTTAATAATGTCACCTACAGAAAGAAACCACAGCACGGACACTTGATTACTGATGACAGATATCTGTCCGGAATCAAGGTTAATATCACTGTTGAATGAGGGTTTTGCTGCAGCCCCAGGTAAGTGGCTGGCTGGCAAGAAACGCGAGGGATGCTCAGCGCTCCTCATTCACGGTCTCTGAACAGTGGCTGCGTGTGGTCCCGCAGCAAAGAGCTACGTCTTCTAAGGGGCAAGAGAAGCGAACGCTGGGGTTTCAATCTCAGCACACCCCTCCTCCAGTCAGGACCACAGCTAATCACTTTTTCCAGGGCAGGGCTTGGTGTCCAGTTGTTCTGCCCCACAGGGACAAAATTCCAAACAGCACCTTGACTTTGCTAAGAAAGAGGGCAGAATGGGATAGAGCAACTGGGGAAATCCAATAACACCAAGGACACCATAAGAAAGGGGCCAAGATGATCTCCTCGTCACTGAGCAGAGACAACATTTTAGGATCATCTGAAAGGCAGCTGGAGCGGGGAGATGGGAGTCCTGCAGAACATTTGTTATTTTGACTTTTTCTTGTTGATTCTGGAAGTTCTTTATATATTCAGGATATTAATATTTTGCCTGATGATATGTGAGAAATGTCTTTTTAACTGATTTACACTGTCTTTTGTTGGACAGTTTCCAAGTTTTTATAAAGTCAAATTTATGCATCTGGTGTCTTGTTTAGGGTAGCTTTCTTCAAGATTATACACATATCTTCTCTTACTTTCTACTTCTATAGTCTTAGAATAAGCTCCTTAATTGAAACTGGGATTAATTCTCATGCAGCTGTGAGTTTGGAATCTGACTTTCCCCACAAACGAAGAGCCAGCTGGTCTCCACCACCATTTTCCTTTCCTCGCTGATCTGAAATGCTCCCTGGTCGTATATGGAACAGCCCCACACATGCGGCCCCACCTCGGGACTCTCTGGGCTAGGCCACCGAGGCGTGCTTCCGTCTGTCCGTTCCTGTGCCAACACCACACTGTTGTGGTTCCTATCATTCTGCAATGCCTGCTGATATCAGATAGAGAAAGTCCTCTTTTTCTGATTCTGATTAACTTCGCATCCCATAAAACTCAGCTTTTAAAAGCATACCACAGTGGGTGTTAGTATATTCACAAGGTTATGCAGCCATGGCCACTACTTAATTCCAAAACATTTCCATCAGCCCCAAAAGAAACCTCACACCCGTTAGCAGTCACCCTCCATCACCCCCACCCCAACCCTGGCAGTCCCCAGACTGCTTCCTGTCTCTGTGGACGTGCCTATTCCGTTCATTTCATGGAAGTGGAATCCTATAAAATGTGGCCTTTGTGTCCGGTTTCTTTCACTGAGCATAATGTTTTCAAGGTGCACTCATGTAGCAGCAAGGGTTAGTACTTCATTCCTTTTTATTGCTAAATAAAATTACATTGTATGAATATACTGCATTTTATTCACCCATTCATCAGTTGAGGAGCATCTGGGCTTTTCCCACCATTTGGCTACTATGAATAATGCAGCCAGGAACATTTGTGGACAAGGTTTTTGTGTGGACATCTTCTTCCGGTTCCTTTAGGCACATACCGTGGGTAAGAACGTGGTTAAACCTACCAGCCAAACGGCTGGATCACCTGGTAACTCAGTTCACGTTTTGAAAGCACTGCCAAGCCTTCCCGGGCAGCTGAGCTGCTGAACACGCAGCATGCGGGAGGGAGGGAGGAAGGCGCCGCGCCTCTGGTCCTCACCCACGCTTGCCTGTCTGTGCTGCTGGTTAGACCCGTCCTGGCGTGTCTGCGGCTCGCTGCAGTTTTGATTTTCATTTTCCTTATGACTTAGAATGTTGAGCATCCTTACACATGCCTGCTGGCTGCTTGCATATCGTCTTTGGAGAACTAGCTGTTCAAAGCCTTTGCCTATTTTTCAGTTGGATTTTTGTCTTTTCATTGTTGAGTTGGAAGAGTTCTTTATATATTCTGGATACTAGACCCTTATCCGATATTTGATTTGCAAATAGTCTCTTCCATTTTGTATGTTGTCTTTTCACTTTCTTGATGTCTTCTGAAGCACAAAAGCGATCATTTGATGAGATCCAAGCTGTCCCTTTTTTAATTTGATGCTCATGCTTTAGGTACCGTATCTGAGAGACCATTGCCCAACCTAACGTGAGAAAGATTTACGCCTGTCTTTTAAGAGTTTAATAGGTTTAGCTCTTCTATTTAGAACTTTGATTCACTTTGAATTAGTTTTCATACATGCTTGAATTAGGGGTTCAGTTTCATTCTTCTGCATGCGGAAAATCAGGTGCCCAGAACCGTTTGCTGGAAGACTATTCTTTGCCCAATTTTTCTTGGCAACCTTGCTGAGAGCAAGTTTTCTTTTGATCCTACTTTTTCCCCTAGAAGTTTCCACGCTATTGTTGTTTACTTTCTCTTTCAGGGGAATTTTAGAATCCAATATGAAGCTCTACAATGATCCACTGAGATTTCAGCTTGACTACTTTGAATGTCCAGGTCAACTTAGCCAGGATTTACGGTTTTCAAATGAAGAGTGTTCCTGTTCATGTCCAGGCTATTTCTCTCCACGTGATAAGGCCAGTTTTCTGACCTTAAGAAGACTTTCAGGTTTTTTTCGGATGGCTTTGGGAAGTTTTCATCAGGCTCACGTCTAGGGGACGGCAGAGGTTTGCTGACAGCATGCATAGGATCTTTTTTTCTGTTACATCTTATTCATGGTGATTTTTAATGTAAAGGAAAACTTTTTTATTTTTTAAACAGATCTTACATCGGACCCTCTTGCTTGACCATCTGATTAGCTTAATAGTTTGTAGCTTATCTTGGACTTTTTGTGTTATTGATCATACCAACTACAAACAGTGAAAGTTTTGTAGGTTCCTTCCTGACCTCCGTGCGGCATCAGGGAGCAGGGTGGCCTGGAGTCCGGGGACAAAGGTGGGAGAGGGACTTTTCCACAGGGAGAAAACGTGTCCAGGGATGGTGGGCAGCGGGGGAGGGGCGGCAGCTCAGGGATGGGGCTTCCTCTTCTCGGCTGGAAGATTCAGGGGCAGGAGCACAGACTCACAGCCCTGCTCCTCTCCCTGGCAAAGGCGTCCTCTTCGTTGAGCACGAGGTTCAGGAAGGGGTGCACGAGGCAGAGGGGTTGGGAACACCTGCCCAGCCAGCCACACCAGGCCTCCCGCCAGGCCGTGGGGCACGCTCGCTGCCAGCCTGCCTCCGCAGCCTCCATCCGAAACAACTTTTGAAAAGTTCCAGGGTCCCCTCTCTCTAGGTGACTCTAGCTTGCGCACTTAAAGGAGGCACGATAACAACCCTCTAAACCTTGCGGAGATTGTGTAACTGGGTTGTACTGCCCCCGGCACCAGAAGGGTCCTGGCGCCCTCTGCACGGGGCTGGGGTATTTCAGCCTTGGGTACCAGCATGGATGTTGGGGGCAGAGGCGACCCAGAAAGTGAAGGGACACAGCTGATGTTACGGTTTGGGCTGCCTGGAGTGACCAGAATCACTGGTTTTTAACTTACCCACCTTTGGGGGTCTTGTACAGTAAATAATTTGCTCCACTTTAGAGCAATGTGAAATGTCGCTATAGAAAGCCGAGTATTGGTTAAAAAATTAAAAACCAAATGGTGGCAGCAGTCTTAATTACTGACCTCTGAAATTTCGAACTCATTTATTCTCAGTTTCAATTTACTTTGAATAGATTACTTATCAAATGTACGTTCAAATCAAATACCCAGAAATATAAGCTCATTAAAGCCTGAACTGAGAACAAATTAGTATAAAATTAATTTCGAGTTCAACAGCTAGCCTGACGGATTGCTTGCAAAAGAGGAGGGGGTGGAGTCTGACTCTCATAAACTGGTCCTTAAATAATCCCACTTGCCTCCATCATTACCAGAGTTAACACCTTATTTCTTAGCTCTAAAACGACTTTCTTTTAACCTTCAGACAGTTGACTAGCAAGCTCACTGCTCACTCTTTTTAAAAATTTTTAAAATTTTTCCTTTTTTATTATTTTTAGGGGGGAGGTAATTAGGTTTATTTATTTATTTTTTTAATGGAAGTACTGGGGACTGAACCCAGGACCTCCTGCATGCTAAGCAGGCGCTCTGCCACTGAGCTGTACCCTCCCCCTGCTCACTCTTAGCTTTT